TGGTCTGTATATGCTACTTCTACTGCTCTTTTTTATGACCAAGATTATCAGAATATAAAGGAAACTAGGAATGAACACAATTGGGAAATTTGTAGGGCTTAGAAAACCTTCGCTAAAAAGGAGCATATTCAACCATTCAATGAACCTCGCCGTGTCTAGTCATATTATGGTGTAGTCTATGGAATAGATGCAAAAAATTAGAAAAGAAGTAGCGCATGCGCGAAAAAAATAAATATTTTGTGTGTGCAGCGCATGCGCTGCACACGGTCCCACACGGTGCTCAAGGTGTGATGCGCATGCGCTGCACAATGTCGTCAACGTGTTAAATGAAAATATAACTTGGATAGGCCCGATGCATGACATTTGTATTAGAGGGATCGCAGCAGAAATCAATTGTATTCTCGAAGGGGGATTCCTATCTGGAAATGTGAAGCATTGGGCGGCCTCCAGTTGGAGTGACAAGGTAGACATGGGCTTCACAACGCACAGAATGAATTCCATCGATTTCAAGGAAGCACTCAAAAAGCACTTCATACTATCGTAGGCCAGATATAGTAGTGATTCTGCAAAAGTTGGCTGAAACAATGCCAAATCAAATTTTCCACTGAAATGAAATCTCTGTTAAAAAATGTGTTACGGTAGTGTAGTTTAAACGCTTCTTTTTCATTCGGGGTTCCTGTGCTATATCGACAAAATCCGCAATCAAGATTATTTATTTGTTTTAATTAATACGCGATGAAGTGGTGCATTTTTTGTTAGTTGCTCGCCAGTATCAGAACTCGGAAATTCTGGCGCTGACGTACGGTTTTGCAACGGAGTGTAGCTCCTAGGCAACGAATGCGATAGTTCGGTGCCTCACAAACCCGAGAATTGGGACTAGCATCCCGCCTGGTAAGATGGGGCGAGCTCACACGATACTGGCTTTTGGATGAACACGAGAATACTGGGTTGTGAAACATTTGGCAAGGCGAACTGCGGCCAAAAACAGCAGTTAACCAACAAAAACAAGTCAAAAGTCATATGATAAAGCTTTCAGCCTTGTGGTAATTGCCGGTAATCGGCTACCAGCTCAACACGTTATACGTGTGAGTGCTGAAAGCTATGGTACGTATACCATGAAAAGCTGAGTTGGAATGAAATGGTGCCCCGGTAGCGTAACTGGTAGCGCACTTGCCCGGAAAGCGAGAGGTGCGGGTTCTAGTCCCGCCTGGGGCGAAAGTTTTGTTCACAACCCAGCATTCTTGTGAAACATTCGCAAGGCGAACTGCGGCCAAAAACAGCAGTTAACAAACAAAACAAGTCAAAAAATAGCTGGAGTACCTTGCCTAACACACAACACTGGAAATACGGCAGCAACGTTTACGCGCTTACAGATCAAGTAGAATTGATCAACCGAGCATCTACAAAACCCACGCTTCTTCTCGAAATGAGCTTTCGAAAGAATCAGCGAATCAGAAGCGCGGCCGAGGCGTGGCGCACACCAAGGCAGGGGATGTCAGTGCACACGCATGCTCGAAGCTTTCTAACACATCCTATGTTCAACACAGAAATTGCTTTCCCTGGAGGTTGCGGCCAGTGAAACCTAAAAAAGGCGTGTTTTCCAAAACTTTGAATATGATTGAAGAATGCCCCCTTGCACAAAAAAGTCACAGCGGTACCTATTTTTCGAAAACTGCTAACCCTTCAAGGAACGTCTCCGGTTTTTTAAAAGCTTGAATTCATTAGTGATTCTTCAATATAAATAATTTATGTTTCACAGACCCTGTCTGTTTCAATATCTAATTTTATTTCACCCGCTGCAAAAACTTTCAACTCATTTGCATGACTCGCAAACACAACCCAAACGAAAAATTCCTGGGACACAATACCAATAAAGCAATATCTGCTCTTGCGATCCACTAAGTCTGAGCGACTCCATGGGCTATTATTATAGTGTCAGCTTTGTGATGCCAGAACAGTGTCACTATACTGCTTGTTGTTGCGGAAATCAAAGTTTCCACCGGCTGGACCTATGTAGCATGTATAAACGCGACTGTCGTCAATGTGTTAAAGCAAAAAATGCAAACATTGGCCTAATCAGTGGTGTTCTCTTCGTCATTATTCACTCCTTTTATTCCATTTCCCATGAAATTATCCGATTTGAAATGGAAAAGGTATTGCGCTTGTCCTCGAAGCCCTCATAACTTACTGTACGACATGAATATGGGTCAAAATTGAACGATAAAGGTAGGGTCGATTGAAGTATGTTCGATGAGAACGATGGATCCCGAAAACCTCCGTTAGTCGCTTTTTTCTTTATGATGATTTCAGCCGCCTGGGCCTTCCAACTTCTAAGCGCTATATCTGAATAATTTATAATATTATAAGGTGACAATAAGGATATTGTGGATCCGAAAAAATTCTTCGAATAGTGTATACCTTTTTCTTAATAGAAATACTTGCATTGACTAAATTCACTCGCTCAAAAAAAACGCTACGATATTATGTTCCATCCTATAGAATATGTGTTTTTGACGTCCTTGTGAGAAAGGTGACTCAGGAAAGGTCACTAGGCAAACCCTGCCAAATGAAATGAAATGCACATTTCTGTACGCATCATGAGACGCTGAACTCAAATCTGCTTTCATTATCTGCTGAACTCTTCTCTGAAAGGAGTTACGGAGGGTTTTTTTGCCGCCCTTCGATTTTCAGTGTCTTGCCTGCAATAGTGTTTGGCTTCATTATAAACGTCTCGAAAAACCAACGTGATGAGGTTCGGCAGCGCAGCTGGTAGTGGGTTTTCTTTTCAAGCAAAGGGTTGGAAGCTTAGTTCCCTCCGGGTTTTGGTGTTTTGCTTTTTTTCCAACATGGCTGAAAAGCCTTTTTGAATCTGTTATTTTATCAACGGTCGCCCGACGCTACATCTACGAAGAGTTTGCAAGCAGATCCTCTTAATTTAAGCACTACTTGTCTGTGAGTGCCCATGGTGCCCGTAGTGCAGGTGCTATGCTTTTCCGTGGCAAGTAGGTACGATATTCGTATTCAGGGGATCAAACTACCCCTAGAAACGAGTTTTTCGCCAAACCTGAGGTTATGAACTAATTGAGAAAAAGCGGAGCAGTGATGGGATTACCACTCCTCAAACTCCACTTTTTGGGTTGACCAATCATGGACGACGGGGGAAAGGAGAGAGGGTTGTTCATGGAAATAATGCCTTGCAGATCTTTGGAGAATGCAGACGGGCAAGCAAGACACAATTTCTGCCCTTTCTGAACTCTGTTTAGGAGTGACAAAATACTGCTATCTCTGAGCTTCATTTGATTTGTGTTGAAGTCGAGTGTTCTTGAAGCTCTTGGCTTTCACAATTTATTGGTGAGCTTTCGGCAATAATGCCATCATCAGACCAATCTTAAAATTACAATAATTCACTAATCAACTATCTACATTACAAAGAGCACAATACAATAATCATACCAGAAATAGGGCAGAGTGGAGGGACCTATCAGGGTCGGGTGGGATGGGAAAATGGGACATTAATCCTGAAGCAAAGCACCTCGCTGATCATACATGCATTTGTTTCTGGTTTCCTTTGACGTATTTCCCGTTCTTCCATTATTTTCCTTTCCAGCGGCCGCTCCAAATGTTTGTGAAGAACGCTCACATCGAAAGATGGGGCGTCCTCTCTTCTCATGTTTCAATGTGCGGTGTCTGGAAAAACTGCTATGAGGATAAGCAGCGGGATTGGCCAACGCTCTTCCTATGCTCGTCCAGTCGAATCTTCAATGGTCTTGCCGTCTCCCCCACGTATTTTTCTCCACATCCTCTGCACTGAACGAGATAGACGGTGCCTTGGAGTTCACAGATCTTTCTGATGTGCAATCGACAAGATTCTTCGTGACACCGACTTTCGTAGATTCGGGATGAAGTGAAAAGATCTTTCAGCGTAGGAGGAGGACGGAAGACAAGTCGAATGGAAGTTGGGAGTTTTCACACGCGGTTCACCTCACGAGCCATTTTGTCGTTGACAAACGGCACTGCGAGGGTTACTTCCGTCCGGTGATCTATACGGACCCAGGTTTTCGAACTTTCCTTGAACGTAGCCATTGCTTTCCAGAATGCTTTCGACTTTGACGTTCACGGCTGGGTCCGTGTCGTTGTGTGTTCAGAAAGTTTATTCCCTCCCAATACCAGCCTTTATAATGGATTGACGGACAAGTGAGTAAGTGACTGTCCAATTTTAAAGGATAAAGGATAAAGCTTTTGCCATCCCTTTTTGGGATGCGGCACGCATTCTACTTCCATTTGTACATTCGTAGTGGCGTTTGAATGCGATGTGGCCTATACAATGACTTGCGGGGCCAGCCGATGTACAAGTCAGTGTTTTTATCCTCCCAGACAAGTCTGGTACCAATTAACCGACCCCGGAGGGATGGAAGGCTTGGTTGGCCCGGGCGACTCACGACCCAGGATTTGATCCCCGGACCGCTCGCGTGGTGAGCGTGCCACTTGTGCACACTACACCACTTCCGCCCGGAATTGACCATAGATTCCGGAAAGGACGAGAATTAACTCCGTTTTGATTACAACCGCCACATTGTTAGACTCGAAAAGGTCTGGTGCCTGTCAAAGTGCATAAGTGGGTTGTTCACGAGCAACGGTCTGCCAATTCGTTTTACCTCCATGTAAATTCTATTGTACGGTGGACCATCGAACTGTTGCACTAATGGCAATGTCAGGAACCTTGAAAGGCATGACGAACAAACTTGCAAAGGAATCAATCCTGTGACCTCTTTTCCGTGAGCCTCTACCACTGCCCTGCGATTTTCTGCTCCATAATTTCCTTCAGAGGAAAGACCAGCAGATAAGGAACGCATATTAGAGCTTAGCGTCCTAAGGCGCATACGAACATACCCATCTCATTTCATTTGGCCGGGCTTTCTGTAAGTTGCGATGGTTATCACGTTCATATGTCACATGCTCGGTTTTTTTTACTTATTTATTACTCAATTATATTTTTTCAGATGCGTGACCATGGTTGCTATATGTATGCATCAACACTCAATCGTCATACTGGAGATGTTTCCATGACCGTCGAGGATATGAGAGAATGGATGGGGGATTTCAGCAGTAGCAAGAATGTGCCAAAATTGATGAGTAGGATGGGCCAGTGTTTCACTCAAGCACAGGTTGAGTTGTTTGTCTACATAGCTTCAATACGAACAGCTTCTTTTTGCTCAAAAATCTGGTTTTTTTCAGCCGACTGTGCAGATTCTACAAGAAGAGTGTTTTGTTGATGATGATGTGGAAGGAGGTGCGGGTCATCCAGAAACTCATGAGCCCTACTGCTTTTCGGATGGATGTGGTCGAATCGCGCCTTCTCTCGCTAGGCGAATTGCTTTAGCCCTACAACTTGATATCGTTCCCAGCTGCTACCAGGTCTGCGGAATTGTCTGTTCTCTTCATTTTCTGCTGAATAGTGTGAGCTAGTTTCTTTGCTATAGGTTCGCTTCAAAGGATTTAAAGGGGTGCTAGCTGCTGATCCTTCTTTGGATTTACCCAGGGGTTGTCCGAAGATAGTGTTCAGGTACGTTTATACACAGCTCTATCTGTATTTCTGTGAAATGCTGCGTAAAAGTGCAATCTTTTGTGCAGGAAAAGCCAAATGAAGTTCAAAGAGCGGTGCGATGATAAGGAGAGCAACATACTGGAGGTACGGTTTCCCGAAAGCGTTGTGTTGAGTAGAACGCAAAGTAGTACAGGTTTTGATTTAAGAAGCGTTTCTATTCGAACCACATTCTGCTGGTCGCACAGCTGAGTTTAGTGGGCGAGAGATGGTTCAAGAGAGTGGAGCAAGCACTATAGCTCGATTCGTTCTGTTTCTTCGTGGTTATTTGTGTAAAATTTGGCCGCGCCCGTCTTAAAGAAAATTGTTTCTATTCTGTTGACCGCAGGCCCTATGATCATATTACGTCCTCTTTATGCTGTAGAAATCTTGATGCTGCAATAATTTCACATGGTTCCGAAAATATGCATTGATGGGGCGTCCAAACGGCCCTCATAGTCTTCAGATTCGAGCTTTAAAAAACGTTGTGGAGCTCAGCAACGATCCATTCATTAGCGAGAATGCTGGCGGTTAAGGCGAAGAATCTCGGAAACTGTTGATATGCTCACACCAATTTCCTTTGTTTGTTCAAAAACTGTTGAAGGAAAGCTTTTCTGCCGAAATCTTCGAGTTATCGTCGTCTGTGAAAAAAAGGCTGTAAAAAAAAAAAAAAAACTTCTGAGAGCTCCTCACATTTAAATCGAATTCTTCTCCAACGGCTCCATTTCTACCAGCATTTTTTTCTTTATTAAAGCTCCTGTAACCTACGGTTATGAATACACCTTTTGATATCATGCTATCTGCTCCTTACAACTTTGCAATGCTGAGCGGGACAAGTACTGATTCCTCCTAACCAGACCTTTATTGCTACCCCTACCAAATCATAGATCTCAAATTTTATGAGCGTGCCACGTATAATCAGTGCGTTTTTGCGATCATCGGTGTGCTGTGCGACTTCACGGTAATCTCATCCAAGGATTAGCAGAGCCCTACCTAGGCTACTTTAACACGTTGACGATGAGCACCGTGTGGGATCGTGTGCAGCGCATGCGCTTCACACTCAATATTTCATTTTGTTTTGCAAGTGCGCCACTTCTTTCCTCATTTTTACATTTATTCTATAGATCATATCACAACGTGACCGTAAACGGTGTGGTAGGCCAAATGGTTGAATATTCCTTACATTAGCGAAGGTTTTCCAACTTGCACAGGTTCTTTAGTTCGGTTCAGTCCTCGTTTCCTTCAGATTCTCTTGAATTTGAATGAAAAAAAAAGAGTAGTAGAAGTAAGTACAGACCTACACATATAGCAAGACATATGTTTTTAGTGGAGCAACCGTCAAAAATAATTTTGAGGTTCACTACAGCAAAAGCAACTGAAACTTGCCTTTCATTGCCAGAAAACGTCAATTCGATCGAACTTTTACAGTTGTCCTTCTGATAAGTTTGACACATCGAATATCATTCGAAACATTTTGTTGCATCCGAGTTTTAAAGCTCAAAATTCACGGATTTGATGTGAGGCGGCGGCGCCTGCAAAATCGCCGTGGTCCCACGCGGCGCAAAAACCCAAAACGCGCGTTGTCGTCAACGTGTTAAGCAACAGTCCCAGCAGGGTTTTTACCTTCAACACTAATGGTGTGGAACGATGCGCTAGCCCTAGTCAAGAACATAAGAAGTGTGACTGAAAAACTCACCTTGGAAAGCCGCTAGAAAGGGAGCTGAACGGCTTCGAAGTGGGCGTGGTTGCTCAGTCGGCTGCAATCCCCTCGGCCGACTTCCAACCACGCCCACTTCGAAGCCGTTCAGCTCCCTTTCTAGCGGCTTTCCAAGGTGAGTTTTTTGTTCAGTCACACTTCTTATGTTCTTGACTAGGGCTAGCGCATCGTTCCACACCATTAGTGTCGAAGGTAAAACCCTGCTGGGACTGTTGCTTAAATAAAGATGTACACCAAAAGAACAGGGAGATTGAACAACTAGACTAGATTTTAATGGTGTCAGGGTTCACTACTTGGTTCAACCTCTACGAGAGCTGCTGAGATGGAAACCGGACTGCAACAAACGAATTCTTCGGTGTTTGAACATAGTGGTCACCACGGCATCGTGGCTGGTAGTGTTCCACGGTTCATCATGGATGAGACACAGCTTGATATCTGAGGCAGAACGTACCACTGCTTGGCCATCTAGAACTAAGAACCTCGCTGGTTTAGAAGTAGTTCGCTACCAGCAGCGGATTCCAAAGAGCGATGTCATTCAGTGGATTCCAGCTCTTGTTCGCTTTCTCATCACTGCCATACTGGCACGACAGACCTTATTTGAGCATCGTAATGCGAGGACGGAGGGAGAAGACTAAGTTCCGTTCATGGTCGAAATATCAGCGACACCGATCGGACAAGTACCAGTGAGAGTCTTCGTTGCAAAGACATCTACCAGTGGATTTCCGGATCGAGAGATGAGTGCTGTATGCATGTAACAACGCGCTTATTGATCAACTACATAGCTTTGTCTGCGACTGTTACCATTTCCCTTTTACGGGTATCAATATTAATTTTTTTAACTTACTAGGAAAGGATGATGGGTCGAAGGTTAGATGCCATGAGACACTATCCGCCATATTGAAGACGCTACTCTTGAATCTGATTTTCAATCTGCAGCTCACAACTCTGATATCTGAACGAAGTTATAAGGAACAAAATGGACAAGGTGTATCGGCCGGACTCGGCGCGATAAGGTCTCAGAGAGGATGATTGTGCAACTTTTTCGTCAGGGGAGGAGGAAACATGGGATCCTTTATTTGAAGTTTGTTCCGTGAAGTATCGAGGTGCCCCTGATGGTATCTGCGCAGATTCCGATTTGCTGAAAGTTAGCAACGGGATCTAACGTTATTCATCCACGTAGCCTTCACGAGACGAGCGAAGAATTCGGAATGCAACTTCGAAACCAGATAGCAGGGTGAATACCAAGCACTGTCTTCGGGAGCGTCAAATAGAACGAGATATGTGATAATCAAGTGACGTACAAATACTCTGGAGCACAGCGACGGAATCTGTTTGCAGACAAAGCCAGTAGCCGGGAATGTGATTACGCGGAAATATGGTGTATGATGATCCACGGAAAACATCGGCGCAGCGCGACCAAGACCATACATAAAAAAAGATATTAAGGTCATCAGCACTTATACAAGTCTGACGAGGGGCGCTATAGATGAATCCAGTGGGACGATACGAGTAATATATAACTAAGGTCTTAAGTAAATCGAGTATGGCATCTAATTGAACGTGGTGCAGGAACCACGTTGAACTCTATATGCTCGCTGATGTTTTTTGGCGGTTAGCAACTTAAAACTGTGCATAGAAAAAGATAAGTAAGTAGCCCTCGCCACGATGCTCGAACACACTTTCAGGTTGTCAACGTATTCTATAGCCTCGTCTGAATGTCTCAAATGCGCCCACTCATCTCAATCTTTATGATCAAGGTATACTTTGCAGTTGCGTGAACTGTCCCTGTTCACATTTGCTTTGACTGATTGTCTAAAACGTAACTCAAAAGCATTCTCCCAAAGGCTACATAAGACACTTGTAGCAAGGTGCATACTACATCGAAAAAAAACTGTCGCAATTAGGAGTGACTCCCGAAAAAACTCTAATTCTTCAGGAATATTAGTAGTACAACTTATTTCTTTAAGCGATGCTTTTGGATGATGCCGTTGCTGGTGATGAGCTTACGCTTCGTTTGAATCCTGCCTATCAATTTTGTGCGACTTAGGCAGTGTGGTATGTGCATCACCAACGAGCCTTTCTTTCGTCGTATCTTGGTGTCTGTCTATCGTTACAACATCAACAATCATCTCAGCAAGGTACAAGATCATTCATTCGTATATAACCGGTTTTCTACGTTGGCTACTAGGTCGGCGACGGGATGTATCTGAGCTGAGCGCACTTGCCCGGAGCCTAACCCCGGGCTGGAATTGGTGCCATATTGACCAGGCCTTCTTCAGTATCTAACCGTGAATAAACACTTGTAATTTTGCGCGCATTCAAATCAAGCGCTGCGAGCCTCACACCAAAGGAAGGACTCTTGCTGCCTCCAACGGTCACGTCGTTGAGAGATACTACACCCGCGCAGCCCAGTGGCGATACCTAACAGCTTCAGACGAGAAGGCAGTGGACAAGAGACCTACCAACTATTCCGTGCAAGCATACGAGCCGCCTATCGACATGTCTGTTTCCGTAGTGTAAGCTGACTCACCTGAACTTAGTTATTAACGCGCGAGAAAGATTAGCACCAGTGAGATGTATAACGGGAATACAGACGCGCTTAAGTATAGTGCATGAAAAATCGCTGCACTCACGGCTCATTGTAAGCTTGTTGCATCTTTCAGCAAATTATCCAGAGAGAATTTTGCTAAAAGCACATCATCAAACATCAGGGTTGCCTGTATCAAGCTTTGCAAGCAAGCTCCGAGCTACTTGGGTGCTATCAGTTTTCGTACCATAATTACCAAGATCTCATCGATTGGCTGTGGAAAAGCTCATCTGCACGGTTTTCAACGCTACTGACGTTTCACCACCACACATCACGATATTTCTTACTCAAAGCATCGAAAAGTCCTGACTGTATGACAGCAAAAAAAAATCAATTTCCCCCTCGACTGAAATCATTGAGGTTCTTGAAGCTTAACCTTCTTACCACACGTGATTAGTGATTATACATTCAGCCGAGATATAAAAGTACTGATCATGAGTGATGATTAATGTTCCTGCTATAGTTCCTTTGAATGAAACCACGTAATCGTTATTCTGAACCACGTAGGGAAATTTCAAATGTATGTATCGCTCAAACGCAAACAATTTAACCCCAAACCGCTGCACTCGGGTATCTGGAATGTTGATATCGTGTTTATGTTTGCGTGTTGCAGAATCGATGGCTGTGCTCGTCGTCGACCGCGCCGCGTCGAACACAGTACGCGAATGTTTAGGCAAACTACTGGAATAATCCTCCCGCCGCTACGTGCGTTCGAGATCCCCACCCTATCGAGGTACCGCCTGTCTTTCCACTAAGTAAGTTTTCCGTTCCTCGACCTTCGGGCGTAGATCTCGAACACACTTCAGGTTGTCAAGTATTCTATGCCTTCGGGTGTATGTATCATGTCGGGCCACTTCATGACAATCTGTAGATCAGAGTAAGTTTGCAGGTGGGATTGATTCTGTTACATTGCTTTATGAACTGATTGTCAGGTAACTCAAAAGCAATTCTCCCAAAGGCTCCATACAGAAGCTGTTGGAGCGGGTGCATCTACTATCTCGAATAAGAACTGCTCGCAATTAGGAGTGAGCCCCGAGAATCTAATTCTTCAGGAATATTAGTAGTACAACTTATTTCTTTAAGCGATGCTTTTGGATGATGCCGTTGCTGGTGATGAGCTTACGCTTCGTTTGAACCTGCCTATCAATTTTGTGCGACTTAGGCAGTGTGGTATGTGCATCGACTCCAATGAGCTTTCTTTCCGTGCGTATCTTGGTGTCTGTCTATCGTTACAACATCAACAATCATCTCAGCAAGGTATAAGATCATTCATTATCGGTTCCTACGTTGGCACTCCGCCTTCTTTCAGTATCACGGTGAAAATTTCGTAATTTGGGCGCAGTCAAATTAGGCTGGGAGCTTTACAAGAAGAGCTCTTCTTGCGTACACCTCTGGTCATCAATGCAGATTTAACGCGCATGCACTAGGAAAGCTAGCTTCTCGGAGTCACTCACAGTTTCGCTTTCGTTAGAACTACTGAATTTAGTTATAAAGCGAAGGACGCACCGGTAATGGAACCTGATCAGACGCAAGAGGTCATGAAATCTTCTCTGCGCCTTATTTGAGCCTTTGCATCTTTTCAGCAATATATTAGAGAGAAGTTCTTGTAAAGTTACATCTTCAAACTTTTAGGGTGCTGTATGTAAAAAGCTTGAATGACTCCGAGCATAATTGTGGGTGTCGACTTTTGGTATGAGTCATCTGCGCGTTTACTTTCACGCTCCTGACGTTTTCACCCCAAACTATCACGATGTTTCTTCTCACCAGGAAAGGTCATTAGGCCAACCCGGCCAAATGAAATGAGGTGCACATTTCTGTACGCACCATGAGACGCTGAGCTCAAATCTGCTTTCATTATCTGCTGAACTCTTCTCTGAAAGGAGTTACGGAGGGTTTTTTGCCGCCCTTGATTTTCAGTGTTTTGCCTGCAATCACATGTTAGCTCCATTATAGAAGTCTCGAAGGAAGAACCGAACAGCCAGTATGGAGTGAGCTTCGGTAGCGCAGTTGGTAGCGGTCTTGCTTCTCAAGCAAGGGTTGCGGGTTCGGTTCCTCGCCGGGGTTTGGTGTTTTTGCTTTTTGTCAACATAGCAAAAGCCTTTTTGGAATCCGATATATTATCAATGGTTGCCCCGCTCCACACAAGAGTTTGCAAGCAAATTCTCTTAAGCTCGAGCGCTACTTGTCTGTTAGTGCACATGGTGCCCGTAGTGCAGGTACCAGGCTTTTCCCTTGGCAAGTAGGTGCGATATTCGTATTCAGAGGGATCAAAATACCCTAGAAACGAGTTTTTCGCCAAATCTGAGGTCACGAAATAATGAGAAAAAGCGGAGCAGTGATGGGATTACCACTCCTCAAACTCCACTTTTTTGGGTTGACCAATCATGGACGACGGGGGAGAGGAGAAAAAGGGTTGTATTTGGGAATAATGCCTTGCAGAATCTTTGGATGATGCAGACGGGCAAGCCAGACACAATTTTTGTCTATTATGAAAAGTGTTTCGAAAGGTTTATTCTACCCAAGTGCCAGCCTTTTGTAATGGATTGGTGGATCGGTGAGTAAGTGACTGCCCAAATTTTCGAGGTTAGGTCAAAATTTCAGAATTCGCTAGAAGTTTGCTTAAGGGAGAGTCTGACTCCCTGATTACGAATATCACACTTGTTCGAAGCAAAAATGCCTGACACCTGCGCTACAAGCGTCTAAAGTAGTGAGGAGCGATGCCGCCAAGTTCGTTATTAATTGCCCTTAAATTCTTTATACGTTAACTATACGCAAGCATGTTAACTAGCGATGTTAGGATCTTCCTAGCTATCTTACTGCAAACGGCAAAAGAACAAACTCGCCAGGGAGTCGATCCCCTGACCTCTTTTTCGTGAGCCTCGACCACAGCCCCTGCGCTTTTCTGCTTCATCATTTCTTTCAGAGAAGAGTTCAGCAGATAAGGAACACATATTTGAGCTCAGCGTCCCAAGGCGCGTATACACATATATACATCTCAAATGGCCGGGTTGACCAAATGACCTTTCCTGGTCAGAGGGATCGAAATCTGTGTAGAAGCAAATCTCAACTGAAATCTGAGGTTTTGACCTGACTTCTTCACATTGATCAATGATTATCCATCATCCAAAAGCCTGATCATGTGATGGAATTTATGTTCCTGCTATAGTTGTCTCTGAAAAAGCTCTATCGTTTTCTGACACCGAATTTCAAATGTATGTATTGCTCAAGCGAAACATTTTTACCTCAAACGCATCCATTCGCGCGTATCTTGGAATGTTATAGTATTATGTTTGCATGGTTGGCCAGTCGATGGGCGTGCCGTGTCGGTCCCGCCGAGCGACAGCGATGTTAGGCAACTGGGATATCCTCCGCCGCTAACTGCGTGTCCGGTCCACACCTTTGAGGGTCCGCCTGTCTTTCCACTATATAAGTTTCTTCTTCTTCGACCTCCGGCGTTATCGTGTGACCCTCCTTTGAAGGCAGAATTCACGATGAAAAGTTAGCTCATTGAAAATAAGGGTAGAGGTGGTCAGTGGAGCAGGGATGAAGAAGAAACCATTTGAAACGGCCCGAAACCCGAGAAATGGGACCCCTTCCTTGCCCGTTGATTTGCGCATTGATGCGACTCTCATCGCTGTGCCCTCTTCAACACTACGCTCTCTCTGCTATCTAATCACTCGCCCTGCGGCGAGTGATTAGATAGTCGGTGGGCGTACCCCGCCAACCGCGCCAAGAGTGAGCCATGCTAGATCGCCGAGGTCAAATCTTTCGCTGCCAATTGCGCGTCGGTCAGCACCCTCAGGAGGTCCGCCTGTCTCCCAACTATGCAATTTTCCCTTCTTTGACCTTCGTTCTTATCGTGAATTCCTCCTTTAACTTGTACAGGGTTTTGCTATTTGCGAACGAGTCACCTGTCAGGGATGCGTGGGACATTGATATGAATGAATATCAAATGAATAAAACGTGCTCAGGAATAGAGGGAAAATGTGTTGGAGTTTCGATGTATTTTGGCATATTATCATGAGTGCTATTCCACTGCAACAGCTCCACCGCGTTCAGGAGAGCTAGGCCGGCTGCTGACCTAAGGAGAGTCACAATAACCTTCCTTGTTGGAATTTCATTGCGAAGTTTGCGGAGCTTTGTCACGGTTAATCCATTCAGCAGAGTTCCGTAGGCTGTAGCAAAAAATCCGCCTCACATTGCGAACCAAAATACTGCAAACCGAAAGAAAAGTGTTTTTTTTTTTCAAAACAAGCTATAGGATGGGAGGCGACACTTCAAAGTAGTGATTAGTCGCGGCAGCTTTTTTCAATTTTCTTTGCATTTTCCAACGCTTCCTTTATATCGAGAAACCCAATTCACTTATATCCAGCTTGGGAGGGTTTTACCATCACTTCTATGCCCTCGTGCTTCAATCAGAGCTTTTAGCCAATTTTGTGTAACGGCAAATATACGACCCCCACCCTCATGATCTTCAAGGTTCTACTTATCATTACAGAAATTTTTACGATCCTTGAGAACACATTTATAGCGAAGTAAGGCCAAATGTATTTTTGTCGTGACCTGCTTCCGCTCGTTCCAGGCCTATTTTAAGCTGAAGTGGCTCATCGTGCAAATTTGCTCTTTGAGTATGCCGTATTCAAGGCTTGAAAAAGTATAAGAAAATACTTCAAGAGCAAAACTTACCTCACCATTTGATAGCGCAAGAAAAACTTTTCTTATATGCTCCACAGCATTCTGGCACTTTGCGTGGATTTGAAATGAAATTAAGCGTTAAATAGTGGAGTGTCAGCAAACGACAAAACCTTCTAAAATACTTGATATCTGGTTACGATTTGAGATTATATCAAGGATCTACGTGACATTGAAAAATTGGGATTATTGAAATTTATCAAAAAATTATTGACATGGCTAGTGTTTAGCCCCAATTGCATTCTTGCATGGAGCTTTACTCTTGTTATTTTCATCTGTCTGACCACCGCTCTCCATGATGCCTTTTATGACATCAAGGAAATCCAATGAGTCGAGGAATATGGTCGATGACCAGGCCAGCCTCAAATTAGAGGATGAGAATCACAGAACAGCTTTTTATTATATAATACGCCACCTTTCTTTTCGTGATCCGCTCTAAACCCAGATTTGAGTAGAAGTTCGACCGCAGAAGTTCACTTCGACTTCCTGATCACATTTATATAATATAATAATACGCGCGTCACCTGGGCATGAGTTACGGGCGTCATATTCGGCAAACAATGCCCAGTTTCTTAGCGATTGCTCGCAATTTCTTCATACGGGCAACTGTAGGGAGGTGATGAAAAGCGGTGTGGTCACAGATCTTTTAGCTATATTGTCAAAAAAAAGCGCAAGCCTGAGTTCGGATAGGAGCCAAGTCGACGAATTCTTGTGTATGAAGTCGGGCCACTACCAGACGCCGCAGCCAGGGTCACCGTGCGTTGCGCAGAATTTCAAAATTTTTACGACCCCCTCCCTTTCGGAGGGTATCGTACGACCCCGTATTAGCTATTGTGTCTTTTACATATTTTAATGCCCATCATCGATGTGTGGGCAGTCACCGACATGGAGAGGTGTGGACATTGGTGCATAAATCCGCGCGCTTAGTCGCGCTCAAAGGAATCGAGGCAGGACAGTATCGCAGAGATTCCACTTTCAGAAACCCACCAAGGTTTTTTTTTTTTTTTTCAAACTCCAACCGTCCTATTATATAACGATAACTAACCTTTGCAGCATACGTACAATTTGAACCTCTCATTGAAAGGTTATATGTGTTCTTTCAAAGGGCCCATTAAAATGGGCACGGAAACCTAAAATCTTCAATCTACTTGTCGCTTGTTCCATTTTCTGTGGTGGCGAATTTTATACTTTCAAACGTTCATAGTTGTCCTTCACTGTTAACATTTTTGCGGGTGTCTAAGGCGATCTAGAAAACTAGAAGATTAGGCAGTTGCGCCGTCAGTGAGGGGGTTCGAATTCTCTCTTTCCTCACATATATATTCATTTCGCTTGAAACACTATACTAAACTGGAACAATACATAGAATGAGTAAAGATTAGCGTTTTTCAAAAACGTACCCGATATTCTTCCAAAGATCACTTTCTTGGAAAACAGTCCCATTGTTTCCTTTTTCAAGGGTTTGTGTGGTCCGATTCTTGAAACGCGTCGTGTTATTGCGTTACCAGGCGTCATCTTCTAAACGGACTAGTTTTTTTCAATTGCGTATATCGTTTCTCGACGCGGTGCTATTTTGAGGAGACGAATAAAAAAAAAACGACATTGAAATAAAAATAACAGTTGCGTCTAGCTGTGTTGCCGGAATCACTCTTGAAAGGGATCACTCTCTCAATAGACAGAAGTTTCTCCAACACTCAAATCGCTGATTTCGCTGTACCCTCCACTTATTGTTGCAAGGCATGGGAGGTTTCAGTCTGAAGATGTTTTTCGTCCATGTGTACTGGGACCTGATGTATCGATCTCACAGGGAATGCTCTGGAATTCCCATGGAACATTGAAGAAGACCTAGGTACATCGATAGAGTCTTGCCCACGCTGATTACAGTGCTCTAAAACTGCTATGTGAACTTCTAAGTTGTCAGGAAACAGACGCCATTTCATGAGAGTAGCTAACCACTGTTGCAGTATGGTATTGGTGGAGCTCTTGCTCTGCAGCCGGTCTGTTGTGGGTTTGCTCTTGAACGGAGCGAAGGCTTTTGCACATTGTTTTCGTACCCAACAAGGACTGTTATTCCAATTTTCAATGTCATTAAAGAGGTCTCCTTATCTGAGCGCTCAAGTTCACGATAAGTTCATACTTTACGCGGGAGGTCACATGAACGTTGCACACTGACTATCATATCCCTCATTGACAAGCCCTCCTCCGTGCAAAGATAGTTTCGATATCAGTGTTCATCAGTACTCAGTGAAGCCCACTTGTAACTGTTTGAGTTATTTCTTTATTCCCTCGATACGCAGAACAAATAGTTTATAGCTAAGATACTTCACCTTTGAAGAGCGTAGATGACAGGCGTAAATGGGAGTCGTTACTAAGAAAATCAATAGAACAGAAGTCAAAAATCGGAATAATGTTGTGCGTTGCGTGCGTTGTGTGGGCGCGCCACGCTCGCGCCAAATGGCTAGTGAGAGAGATTCTGTGTGAAACAGAGCCGCGGTTTCATGGGCGTCGCAAATTAAGCTGAGCCGCAACTCTGTATCTGCTGTATGAAATGTCGTATTATGCTCCTGCGCGGAACGCGTTTCGTAGTTAAGGAGAGGAATAGCTCGGTCAATCTAGTTATTCAACTTTTGATATTTGAAGTACACCGCAATAGGATTTTTCGAAATTTTTTAGGGATTGGGATATACATGCATTAGATGTAGACATACGTATCACTTCATCCTTTGTTGAGTAGTGGAAGCTGCGTGACAGACCGCTTGCTGATGGAACTCTGGCTTGCTCAATTTAGGAGCTCCTTCGGCCCTCTCCATATTTTTTCAAAATGACAACAAAACTGAGGATGCTCTCAATCCCAACTCATTACCACCGTTTTCGCATTTCGTTTTTTATTATTTGACACTCAGGAAAACCTGACGATATACACTGAAGAATTACCCTAAAAGAGGCCTTTTCTGGAACATTAACGCGTGAAACTTGTATCAAGTTCTAGAGTCTAGTACTGTAGTTCTGTACTGTTGTAGTTCATTGCTAGCGCCGTTTGGAGGCATATTTACATATTACTGGTCTTTCCTCACGGACACCAAGGCAGCAAAGAGAAAAGAAAGCGTTTCAATGGACAATTAGGAACCGCATAGAAATTTTCTCGAACCCTTTGGTCGTGTTAACCAAGCGGAAGGTTACAGATCCTCGCTTGACTACGGCTTTAATTCACGCATCTTTAAGGCAAAAATATTTCTTCCGCATGGTGTCGGCCGCTCCATGTATGGTGTCTTTGACGAAACTGGCCTCTTGCAATACGGCCAGGTGTTCATTCAGTATTCTACATCGATCAAGAAACCGGATGGAAAGTTGAAGATATATACGGGTACTTTCATACGATGCTCGAATACATAAATAATAAATATACTCGAATGTGATAACTGTTCACTTCAGGGCCGGTCATGATTACGAAAAATCCGTGTCATGTAGCAGGTGATGTAAGAATGTTCACAGCAGTATACCAGCCCGCCTTAATCCATTTATTTGACGTGGTTGTTTTCCCAAAACATGGTCCTCGTCCTCACCCTGATGAGATGGCAGGTAAACTTTGCTATTTTTATTCCTTTCCGTTTTTTTTTCATTATCAATCTTGACTTATCAAATTAAGGTAGTGATTTGGACGGCGACGAATACTCGGTAATATTTGACCCGGACATATATTTTGATCATAACGAAGAAGCGATGACGTTTCCAAAAAGTTCACCAGATGACTTTGAAACTGCGCCAACGGTTGCAAACAAGTTTCCTTATTTGAAACTGACGACAACAGATAAGAGCCTGATGTTTAGACTGACGATATGGTAGACTTTTTCCTGAAATATCTTCGTCAAGATTCTATTGGGAGAATGAGCAATGCTCACCTCATCCTAGCAGACCGACGCGGGTTGTTCGAGTTAGTTTACCTACATTTCCGTGTGTATCAGTATTTTGCTAGCTCAAATATTCCACTATGAACTCCTTCCGGTTTTTCCCAAAATGAAGCAGGTAATCATGAGTAGATGAGGAAACCACCTTTCAAATGAAAATGATGAGAAATTGCGAGTCTGGGGCAGTCTAAAATCTCAGTTTTCTCGTATTGCAAGGTACATGTTCTCGAGTAAGAAGTAATCAGCAGAAATTTGAAGAGATTTGTCCCGGAGAGTGAAGAAAACTACGTTAAATCGGATGCATTCGCAATAGGCACCATGAATAGTTTACTCGAACACTGATCTCGACTTTATAACAGTAGATCGTCCTGGAAGTAATGCTGATTCCGCATGCCATACTTTTCTAACAGCAACAGTTCCAGCTGGGTTTTTATCTTCCACACTAATGGTGTGGAACGATGGGTCTTCATTGCTTTAGGTGCATCATACTAGTGTTCTTGATATAATGCTTTACTTTGCTGGAATTGAACTTTTGGGTGCATAGCTAAAGCCAAAATAAATATTCCCATTGCTCACAAGTAGTCTTAACATCTAT